ATCTACAAAGTTGTGTCTTTATATCTTGTAGCAGACCAAGTGCGTCACAGACACAAGTATATATTGGAATAATTTACTGAATGTGTATTATGTGCTGAGTATCAACTCATTTTTTAAAACTAGGATAAAAATTTACTTAATAATAAATAGAATGGAATAATTTTCCTTTATTTTATTAACTTAATGGCAGGAAACTTTCAGGAAAACAAATTGTTCTTTACTATCAGTTTTTCCTCGCTGTTCTATCGCACAGGTTGTTATATAAATATATTTTTCAACATCATATTCAACAAATTTCAAAGACAATTTGTATAACCAAGGAAGATTTGTATATCCCAAGATAGCAGCAAAGACTGCAAACTCTAAAACCTATGAATTGTAAAAATGCTTTTATTCTTCAAATCACAGAAAATTCTCCTTCCTCCTCCACCATCACCACCCTCCAAAACAATCACCTACAAAATGATGCTAAACATTCCAACAAATTAATTTACTCATGGTGATTGGGTTCTTAGTACAAACATATCCAGGGAATCAGACTGGTCCTGTTAGTACTAGCACACACACCTGTCACGCCCGCATGCTCTGCCCCTCCATTCTCCACTGTAAAGTGGACCATCACAAGAGGCACCAGTCTCACAACCTCATGAGTCTTATTTTAAAGTATGGAACTGTGGTACCAAGGTCAACACAGGCATGTTTCACAGCCTTCTCTACGCATAAAGCACACAGAAAAACACAGCTCTCTCCATCTCAGAATCTGCTGCTGGCACTTACAAAAACTCTGGTTTTCACAGCCTTGCTGTTTCTCCAAAACAGTATCACACCTGCAAGTCCAATATGAAGGACAGACAGCACAGGGTGCAAGTAGTGATTTTCAGCTGAACTATGCCAGTGAAATGAGAAGATGTCACCTCATTTTCTAAGTGTGGTTCCCAATCAGCCATAAATTGATTTGTGAAACTCTGGGTTCCCATTAAGTTGTTCCTAGTGCCTGGGCCTTATTGTCATTTCACAATTAACATTCTACAGGTGCATGCAACAAGCCAGTATGCAATTCTTTGGGGAATATCTTAAGTGTTCTCACAATTCTAGGTAAGTCTGGTTGGGAAAAAAATGAAAATAAAGTTCTGGTTTTCAGTCTCACACATGAGCTCTTTTCCACACTGGCACAGGATAATCAAGAAATTGGCTAAATTCTAATAACCTAATTTTTAGATGTCAACAAAGAGATTACATTTTCTTGGGAAACAGAGGGACTCTAAGTTTCTACCTATCCTTCGGTTTTAATCACCATACGACTTAATACTGTAAAGTAATATGCAACTACTATTAATTATCTTCTCTTCACTAATAAAAATGTTGATCTTAAAAAGTTTTAGATGAGGAAACAACTTAAGCAACACTCACCAACTTATTTTTCTCTTCCCAAATCTTATGTTTAAGCATTGAACCTAGTCAATTAGCTACATTTTTTCCAAAAGTACACCTAAAGGACTTATTACTAACATTTTAACCAAAATTGCCATGGATAGACTCTTACATTCTCTATATTGAGTAAAATATCATGTGATTCTAAAGAAAAAATTGTATAGACATTAACATTTACTTAATAACATGTAAATCTGGATGTGAACAAAAAAGAAATATTGGTTTCATCATAGCAAGTTAAAAAGAAGTATTTCAAATATACTGATTTAAACTTGGGCTAAATGCCTTACCTCAACAAAAAAGGCAAAAAAATACTTCTTACAAAATCAACTTTTAATTTCTGTTGGAACCTTAAGGCTCTTAGTATTATTACTATTATTTTAAATGCAAGATTTACCTAAAAATAATAATTATTTATGAAAAACAAGATTTAAGGATGTGCCATAGCTTAAATTAAAGGCTATATAAAATATCTAAAATGTTAATGTCACAGTCCAAAAACTATTTTCATTGTTTTCAAATAAATTACCATGGAGCTATTATAACTAGGTTTCAAGTTTAAGGATTTTGAATCTACACTAAGAATTATTTTATTTTTTAGGACTTCTACAAAAAGCATTTAAATAAAAACCCTCAGTTTACTGCTCCCAAATATAAATCTGACATCTTTATTTGTAGAAAAATTAGAAAGTGTGCAATTAATAGACTGGAAGTTAAATATCATCGCCAGTAACTAACTGCTGTCTGTTGAATTTCATAGGAACCTATTGTATATTAAGTTTTTGGAAAGTGAACTCATCTACACTCTCATCTCAGCACTTTCTCAATTTTCCCATTACAATTAACAATATAACTCAGCAGTTAAGTCTTACAGACCAATAACATCAGAATTTATTTTTAACTTCTGACTCCTTCACAAATATTCGCCTTCAGTCCAATCCAAAGTCCTGTCAGTTCTGCATTCATTGTCTCTCAAATCTGTTCCTTTCATCCCATTTTCACATTTTACTTTATTCCCTCACGATTCACAACATACCCTACTATCCCCCTAAAAAAGTTGTCTCCCTACTCTAATAGATCAACGCAGCTGCCAAAATCACCTTCAAATATCTTGTTTAGCAAACTACAGTAAATCCAGTAATACAGTAAATCTCTTGAATTTCAACCAAACTTTTACAGGCCCCCCTCTGCCTTCTATCAGCTAACTTTCCTCGATGTCTCAAATTCCATCTTTTATTATTTTCCTCTTTAGGCCCCTTTAATTCAGATTTACCAACTTGCTTGCTGCCTCTCATATAAAACTCACTATCTCTGTGCCTTGGTACATTCCTTCTACCTAGAATCCTTCATGCTCCTTGATCAGTTCAAGCTACAGCTTCCTTTAACAAACCTGTCTTAAAACAAACTCTCTCTACAGGAAGTCTTCCCTCTTCAACACAGTCTCACCTCTTTATTCTTTGTCCCTCTGAACAAAGGATTAAACTTGTATTTTATAGTTTTGCAATCATCATGCTACTGTTTTCATATTTTTTCTCCATAACTGGCCTCTACAATTAAATGATAAGCTTGAGGCCAAGAACTATAATTTCTTATGTATCTCTGTTTTGAACAGGGGTCCCTTAGAACACTAGTAGCCCAACAAATGCTTAACAACTCTGCTTTCTTTTAAATATCCTAAAGTTAGGTTGTCAAAACACATAATTAGCATTAAACTCCAACTTTTTAAATGTTAGGTTGACCTATACGGTAACAGAAAATTAAACATTTTAACCTACATACTTTACAAGTGTTACTCCATCCTCAGTCAACATCCTATCAAGAATTAAGGATCACTTTCAAAGAAAATCCTGTAAACAAAATGAAAAGTCCCTAAATTCAGCATTATAATCTATTATTATATATCTCTGAAATAAGTCTAATAAATTATCTAAAATTAATTGAGTGTTTTTTACACTATATTATCAAGATGGAAAACATACAAACACTCCAGTACCACAAGAGGCTCTTAAGTAGCTATTATAAGATTTGCTTCATCATAGCTGAAAATTATTCCAGAATTTTTAAATATTCCTTTCAAATGACCCCATGAAGTGCTTAGAAAGCATGACCCTTCCCTGAAAGATGCATAATCAGCTTGCCTCTTCACATACCCTGCATTCTCCACTAGCTAGTCACCGCGGGAAAAATAATAATAATAATTAACTTTCAAAAATAATCTCCCATTCAGCAATTACCTTGGACTACCCTGCTTCAGGCAAGTTCCAAAGGCCAATATGAATTGAAATCTTTAGTTCAATTTAAAGATAAGGAGAATAAGGAAACAATATAGATACTTTTGTCAAATTCTAGAAGTATGTTTAAATAAGTTGTCATTAAATACCACATGAACATCGCCACAAAAAGAGATACACTGGAACACTGAATACTTAGTATACCAAGTACTTCAAGAACATAGACAGTTTGGCACAAATCCGGGAGGAGAATAGTCTAGCGACAACCCTGAACACAGCCCAAATATCCCTATCATTTCCAGGACCACAGCCTTCCGCAAAAAGCTAGGATGGAAAGGATTAAATCCCTATTCTTATAACAAAATGTGACGAAAACTAATGCAAGAGCATTTTAAACAGTCCTAAAAAGGAACCCCCTGTAGTCTAGAACATTTAAAGAGAATGCAATGGCACCCCAAAATTGTACTTAAATGACAATGAGTCATTGACAATTAACATTTAACTTAGTATTTGGCACTATGACAATACAAACCTCAATCAAAGCTTGGACCTACTTCCAAGTTACCTTTTGATTAAACATAAATTACATGGTGGCAGACTGGTAATGTCAAAACAGGAAGGTTAAGAGATAACACATTAAACCACTTATCCAATTGAAGACAATGCATTTAGAGATGCTACTGCTGCGGGATATTTATCAGCTCCCACAGGCCCCTTCTAAAGTGAGGAGTCAACGATCGCCTCCAAACGTGAATGCTGGTAACTGAGCAAGTTCATCCCCCGATTAAGAACAAATGCTAGCACTTTGTACTCACGCAGGCAAAAAAGAAATGTTAGGAGGGTGGGACATTTAATGTCTGTATTAAGTACACAAAACTATGATAACTCCTGAGCCCTGAGCTAAAATAACCTCCCTTACTCCAAAAGGTATATACTCTGCAAATATACAGTGATGTATAAATCAAATATAAATCATAGTGAATCAAATCTTGTCCTTCTCTTAAAAGGATGAACAAGTAAACACTTTCATCACTATTTTAACGTAAGCATTTGATAAAGCTGACTACCAACAGCAAGAAAGTTATAAAAAAAGAAATAGTTTCAAATAGAATAATCCAAATAAACATCATATTCTCTCAATTCAAGGTTAATAAGACCGGGGGAAGGAATACGGGAAAAGAGAGAGCTGCCTCATCCTTGACTGAAGACAGGTTTTGCCCTTTTCCATTACCTCTGATTGTTTTATCAGGAGGTCTAAATTTTCAGATCTTGGTATTTCGAGATTTCTTATTTTAAGGGTGATGTGGAAGAGGGATGTAAAATAAAATCAATACTCACTGCTAACTTTCATGCTGCCAAAAGCTGAAGGCTGCTGCACTGGCTTGCAGCTCTCCGCAAAGGAGGTGGTTCTGGGCCGCCCTGACATGATTACCCTCTTTCCGAATCACCTTTTCCTTCCTTCCTCCTTTTCTTCCTTTTGTTTTATGTTGGGATGTTAGGTTAATGATAAATGCAGCATTAAGTTCTCTCACAAGAAAGAGAAAAAGCTTCGTCCTCTTGGCTTTTCAGTCCTTTTGTACAGGTATTTTAAAAAACGAGCGATGTATTCCTCCTTCAAGACAGATCAGTACGGACATTTAACATACAGATGATCTGAGACTGGGGAAAAAATACAATTCTTTCCCCTCCCTTTCCTGGGAGGGGAGGGGGGGAAAAGGTGGAATCCTAAAAAAATATCACGTGAAACGGAGGCAAATACTTGATTGAAAATAAGTACTTTGAATATTATATTTTCCTCGGGGATTTTTTTCCGAGTCAATGAAGGGAAGCGGCGGAAGGATCACGAGTCTCAGGCTTGAAGAGAAGGGGGGATGGGAAGGAGGGAGGGAGAGGGAGGGGGTGGCTCGGAGATGCGACGGGAAACGCTGCGGCTCCGGCAGCGGCGGGATCCGGCGGGCTGACGGCGGGGGCCCGGCGAACTGGAGGACGGCGGAGTCGCGAGTCAGTCAGAGGCGGGCGGTGGCGGCCGATCCTCTCCTCATTGCGCCAGGAGCAGCTGCAGGCGGCGGCTGGATCCAGCGGCCATGGCGGCGGCGGTGGCGGAGGCAGCTCCCTTCAGACCCCAGGCAGCGGCTCCTCGACTGCTCCCCATACGCCGGGGACATGGGAACCCGGCAACAGCTTCCGTCCCTTGGGGCCCCCTCCCCCGTCCAGGGCACCAGCGCGGCCGCCCTCCCGCCCCTCGCCTCAGCTCGGTGCCCGCTCAGGAAGTGTCCGCGCTTTGCCCCCAGCCCGGAGCCCTGTCAGCGGCTGCGGGGCCGGCTCCTCCTCGCTTCCTTCCTTCCTTTGTCACTCGGCCCGGCGGCAGCAGCAGCAGCAGCAGCACTAGCCCGCATTCGCCCGGGTCGGGGGCTGCTCTGTGTGAGGAACGTCGTCTGCGCAGCCGCCTAGCGCTTCCCCACTCCCCCTCCCCCCTCCTACTCGTCCTCCGCCTCCTTCCTCCCCCACCCAGCCTTACACCGCCCAGCGCCCCGCCGCCCGCGTAATAGGCGTCTGGGAATAGCCGGCCGAACCCCGCGCCCGCCGGCTTCGTTGGGGAACCGAAGCCTGAGCGGAGCCAATCATGGGCGTCGTTTGTTTGCGGCTTCTCCCGGAAAAAGCCGATGGGCCTGAGGAACCAATGAAAAAGTGTTGCTTGAAAACCACGCCCAAGGAGCGGAAAATGCCGAAGTTAGCCGAACGGGAAGAAGGTGATTCGCCTTGTTCTGTGTCTGGCTAGGGGAGAAATTCGACAGTGGCAACAGTGGCCAATCAGAGTCCTCGGCCCTCACGATAAAGCGTGAAGAGTTAAGGATAGTGAAACCCGGAGTCGCTGGTGAAGCTGCAAGGCTGGGCTTCTCGGCCCCTTCGTAATTGGCTGGAAAACTCCGGGGGGAGTGTACCTCCCTTGATGATTGGCGAAGGGAAGGGGGCTTCCGAGGACAGCCTGGCCAGTCAGAACGTTTCCTCTCTCGCCAAGGTGGGGAGAAGAAGAAAGCGAAGGGAGGGCATCTATAAAGCGCCGTCTTATTGGCCTGCAGCTTTGGAACTGGAGTGGGGGCAAAAGGGAAGGGAAGGGAGGTGGCAAACCCCTGGCGGTGGCCAATCGGCAGTCACTGCCGTCCTATCGCAAGACCTAGGTGCACTGTGATTGGCCTTCGGCCTCCGGCGCCGGTCCCAGGAGCGGGAGAAGCTGCACTGGGGTTGTGGCGGACGGCCTGATGGGCTCGCTCGCGGCTGCTCCCAGCCCGTGTGGGAGCCGCAGATGGTGAGCGCGGGCCTTCCGCGCAGCCCGTCCGCAACTGCTGCGGTCGGCGGGGCTGTGCCTAGAGCGCTCAAGCGAGCGGAGGTCGAGGGGCTCTCCCCACCCACGGAGCCTCTGAGCGGGGCGCGCCCGAGGCTCCTCTTAGCCCGGGATCGCGCGTGTGGAGTATCTGCGTCTTCCCCGAAAGAGCTGACCGGGCTAAGGGGACCTCCCCGGCCGGGTGCGAGCTCTCAAACGCTAAAGTGGGAACAAAGCTTCCAGAGAGGCATTGCCTCTCGGCTGGCGCGCCACGCCCAGCCGTGGGGGCCATTGATAGGGTAAGACCCACTCTGCTTGGTGCAGCGCGGCCAGGCCGGGCCTTCTGGAAACGCCCCTGAGAAATGAGCTCGTGCTGGATGCGCGAGCTCCTTGGGCGCGACTGCCCAGCGCAAAACGGGCCCCGAAAGCAGGTGAGGGGAGATGCCGTCAGGCCGGATATCCTGAAGCCTCCGAGGAAACGGGGAGGCAGAGTAGACAGTAGTAGCTTTGGGTCTTTTGGAACTAGGGTGGTCTATGGAAGTGTTATTTGAGTAGGTTTCACACATAGGCCAGTGTCCATTGTTCTTCCAGAGAACCAGTTTCTTTGGTCTGCCTGAACAGTGAGGTATGGTTACGTCAGGGTAGCAGAGGAAAGGAGAATGGACAGTTGCCATTCTGATCGTAATCCAGTGGTGCCTGCAGTTTCCACCTGCAGAGTCATCCCTTTCTTAACAGAAAGATGCTATCTCCAGAAAGCACATGTAAAAGTACCCATACTTGATCAGATGACCTAGCTATTACTTTGAAAAACCGGTGAGGCACTTGGGGCAGAACAAAGTAAGCTTTGATGGGAGACAGTAAGGTCTAGATAGGGTCTGTAGACTCAAATGTCTATGGGAGCCAGAGAAGTAAAGCAAATGAGCGACAACGTCTGATTTAAGACTACAAGGTATGGTAGGGAATAGGGCAAATTGCAGTGTCCATGCCGTAACTAAAGGGAAAACTCCTCAGCTCTAACAGATTGTTGCCATCAGGAATATGGGTCCAGTGTTCTGAGATTTTTTTCTTTTTTTTCTCCCAGGAGAAACCCTAAAGTTGGATTTTCGTGTGAAATCTCTGGAGTTTTAAATGTTGGCAACCAATATTTCAAAACCCAGAGGGCCAAACTAAAAACTTCCTAGGGTAGATGAGGCCAACAAGTAATCAATTTGTAATCTCAGTCCTGAGCATAGGTTTTATAGCTCGAAAGTAGAGGCTCTTGTTCTTTGCAATTAAAAGAGAGCATGAGGTCACTGGATGCCATGGGGGTGGGTAAAGAATGTTAAAAGCAAACGCAGTGCTTGGCAACTTTGTCATCTGAAGGGCGTCTGTCCATGCTGTTATGAAAGAACTTTGCCACTGTTCCGTAAAATGCTGTGAGGCAAAACTTTAAATCCTGCCCACCTCTTTTTACTTCCCATCCGTTCTCCCAATTATACCATCAGGAAAGTAAATAACAAATGTTTAGGTTATACAAGTTGGAAACGTGGCTATTCTTTTTTATATAATAAGTACAAAAATAGTCTACCTTAAGTATACAATTAATAGCTTTACTGCCTTTATTGCTGCCTTCAAATATTTTGAACAAATGCTGTTAAAAAATCTGACCTGAAAAAAAAAAAAAGTCTTATAACAAGAGAGGGGGAAACTTGATAGGAGGAAGAAAAGAATGTATTTCATGCTAAAATTAAGACTTGAAGAGGGAAAAGTTTATGAAAAAATACAGAATTACCAAAAATAACTTTCAATGGTTGTTTCTCTGAAATTTCAAACTCACTCTTACTTTACCTTTCCACCAGCTGTCAACCACATATCAGTTTTACAATAAGTATAATAGTTAATATTTGTTAGGTGTTTACAGTGTACGAGGCATTGTTCTTAAGTGCTTCACACATACTATCTTATTTAAATGTATAACTATCCTATGAAGTACTGTTATCACCTCGAATTTACAGATGAGGAAACTGAGGTCCAAAAAGGTTTACTAATTTACCCAAGGTCCAAAAAACTGCAGAACCAGGATTCAGATCTCCTGTTCTTAGCCTCTGCTTCATAATTCTCTCTTGCCCAAAGTCCCCACCCCTCCTGGTATATCTTGCTTTATTTTATAATCTAAGCCTTATGCTTTTTACTGTGTGCACCTGGTTGTGAACATACCCCCTAGTATGATAACAGTTTGGTTTCCTCAAGGGCCCTTGTAAAGATCAGTGATTGTAAGCTGAAGTAACAATAAGCCAAAGGGTTAGAAAAAGGTAAATGTGGAAAAACTAGGTGGTACAGAATAGGTGAGTAGCGTAGTGAGAAAAAAGCTGATGAGCGTTCCACAAGATAAAAGACATAGATTAAAATATGCAGTGAAATAGCTTCATAAATTCTGTAGTAATAATAAGCATTTGCATAGCACTTTGCAGTTTATGAAGTACTTTGACATGCAGTGTATCAGTTGGTCCTCACAACAGTCCAGTAAAATGGGATGGGAAACTATTGTCCTCTTTTTACGAATGAGGAAACTACACACTAGAGTGATTAAGTGACTTGCTCAAAATCACTTAGCTGCATTTTTTGTTGAAACTAGAAGAAAATGTAGGCATATTTAATAATGAAGTGGTACATAGAATATGAGATGCAGTTTATTTAGATGAACCCAGAATCAACCATTCCAAACAAATCCATGAGGAAGTTCTTCCTAGGACCTCATGTATTTAGCCAACATATATTAAACACGTATTAAACATAAATGTTGTTCAGTGCTGGTCTTCAAAATTTAATAAGACATGGCCTCTGTGCTTCAAATACTGGCAGTAAGGTTCTATAAGATGGAAAGAGTTGTTCAGTAATGAATGATAGCCCTCCAATATCAAGGTCAAAGTGATGAAAGGAAGGGAAAGTAAATTTGCATTTATTGACTGCCTGTTCAATTCTCCCAAAACCCCAAGAGATAGGCATTGTTAGCCCTTTTTTTAATAGATGGGGTGGAGGGGTATGGAATTAGTCTTAGGATACGTACATTGCTCAAGTTCACACTATTAGTAAATCCTGAGATGGGATTTATGCCAAGGTCTGTTTGAGTCTAGCCTCTTTATACTAGATCACTCTGCTTTCCATCAAGAAGTAATACTGTTTATCCTATCTATTAAAATTTTATACATGTGTATGTTTGCACATGCACACCTAAGTGTCTGGACATACAAATTTTGGTGGCATTTTGGATGATATTTATTGCCTCCATGCTTTCCAGTATTATCTTCATTTTCCACCTTTTGTTAACAACTTTGACATATATTCCACAGCATAGTAATCTTACAGGAAAGGTAAATACCAGCAGCTAAACAGGTACTTTTAGAGGGATTTGAGGAGGCAGTTTCAGGGTTGAGCAGATAAAAATAGAAAATCAGGAAACCTTCAAAAGCTCTGAAGCAGGAGCAGAAATTTGCCCCTCCACGGACAACTTTTAATGCCAAAAAGAGATTGACTGTGACTAACATTTAGTATTCCATGTAAAGGGGTCACTTTATAGCAAAGTAGGGGTGATAAAGTAACCTATTGACTATACTAGAAATTATCAGCAGGAGCTTAATTTGGTAGTAGTATCAAGAGCCATTTTAAAAATTGTACTCTTTAGGGCCGGCCTGTGGCTTACTTGGGAGAGTGTGGTGCTGATAACACCAAGGCAAAGGGTTCAGATCCCTATATGGAGATGGCCGGTTAGCTCACTTGGGAGAGTGTGGCGCTGACAACACCAAGTCAAGGGTTAAGATCCCCTTACCGATCATCTTTTTAAAAAAATTGTACCCTTTGATCAGTAATAAAAGATAACAGGTATTATGCTAAGTGTTTGGGGCATGTAATGAGCAGAACTCCTTATTGGTAGGTGCAATATTGTTATTACTTCTATTTTACTGATGAGAAAACAGGAATAAAAGAAGTAACTTGCTCAAATTCACATAGCTAGAAAGTGGTTTTCAAACCTGTAGCTTAATTCTTGTGCCCTAGCCCTGGGAATTTCTCCTTAGAAAATCAGCCAAAAGGAAGAAATCAGACTTCATCCAAGTCCATTTAGTGAGCTTATCCAGCTCTTGGTATTTTTGTAGGAGACTATGCTAGGCCTTAGGAGTACAGGAGTACAAAGATAAATAAAAGCCATCCAGAGATGACTGCTGTCTTGCCCTAGCCTTGGAGGCAAGGCCCTTTCTCATAGTGGAGAAATGTAAAACAGCTAACCATAATGTCATCTGGGCAGCTTGGAGCTAGCACAGAGGAGGGAAAGTGTCCCAGAGATTGTTTTCCAAGTTTTATTTAAACTAGTTGTCTCCAAAGTTGGGTACATGTACCCAGAAGTTGGCAGAATGATCCTTTGTGGTGCCAGAACTATTAGAACTTATTTTTATCTTAAAAAGTAAGAAATTACCTTTCCAATGGTCCCTCCTCAGTCCCTACATTGAAGAAACAAGTGTTACATAGTCTACAATACAGCTATCATACAGGAAGAGGAATCCACATCCTCAAAGGGGT